TGTTATTTTTCAAAACTTGAGGGGGTGGTTGTTGGCTAAATGTCCCTGTTCTAACACCTACATACTCCTCAGATATTTTAAAATTAATAATGGAATTTGTATGAATTATTTTAAAATAAATACACACTTTAATTTAGAGTTTAGTATTAAAAATTTTTTTTTAAGAATTTTTGAAATTTTTTTCAATATGTAGAAGAGATGAAATTATTTTTAATTGTTTTCTAAAAATGTCATTTATGCTTTAAAACTTTAGACTTTTTGTGTTATTTCTAGCTGAGTGTTTTGTTTTTATTTTCAGTTTTATTGTTAAAATTTTATGATTAGCATTTTAATACTTAATAAAATCTTAAATTATTGCTGAAGAAAAACTTTAAAGAAAAAGATTTTATGCTTTAATTTGATTACCACCAGCATTCTTAGCCCCAGCATTTGTGACACATCACAGATGTGACATTAAAAGATTTTTATGTTTTATGGAATAAGTGATTTATTTATATTTAAATATTGATAGATTTTTTATTAAATCATTAGAAATTAAAGGAATTGTTGAAGAAAATATAACATCAATCTTAATTTATAAAAAAACAAGAAATCAATCTTAATTTGAAAAAAATGTTTATTTGAAGGCTGTAAAGGCCCTACGGAGTAATAATATCAAGTTGTGTAGGAGCAAAAAGTATATAATTTTTCACCGACATGGTCAAACTATAGATTTGAAGGCTGGAATATAGTTTTACATTCAGATTAGTAATTTATTCATTCGATATACAGTATCATAAAGTTTTCTAATTATATTTAGAAGATACAGGATATTAACAATTTATTGGGATAATATTTGGCTAGCGCAGCGGGACAGTCATCTGTCCTAATAAGGAATTACATATGTAATTGAAAACAATCTGTTCTTTTTTCACTTGGCTCATATCTTAAAAGTTTTTGCTCATCATGAGCTTATTTTATATATTTTTTTAAAATAAATTACATGTCATTTGTTTAACATCGAAAATTTATTTTAAACCATATCAACAGACGACTTGTAAGAAATCAATTTTTGTTGTTGCTCGTTTTTGTTTCCAATTTGAAAAAACCCCATATACCAACCAAAAGCTTTATTTTCGTACTTATTTCATGCGTAGCCAAATTAATGTTTTGTTATTATTTTTGTTTTTTTATTTGTATTTTTGTCATTTATTGATTTTATATTTATGATTAATTTAAATTTGTGTCTGGCATATTTAATGAATAAATATATTTCACATAAATTAATATTAATAAATGATAAAACACGTAAATAAATTTTATATAATTTATTTTCTTTTCATTTTTCAATATCAATTTAAATTAAAGTGCGACATTATTTTATCTGTTTTTTTTTTTTTTTTTTTTTTTAATGTAGACAAACAATAAAACACACAAAAAAATCACTTATAACACATAAAATAGTCATTTAAGTGTGTAAATGGCCATATTTATTGGTATTAATAATAATTTTTATTTTTAGTTTGAAAAAAGAAAACAACCATTATAATACGTGATTTGTTTAATCGATTAAGTGCAGTTTACAGAACTGGATTGTATATAGGTTTTATCAGGTTAAAATTTAAAATGATTATATTATTCTTCATTTGATACTTTTTTGATCTAAAAGTACTGCCAGTGTTTTCTTAACTACTCTATGACTTAAATTAAAAATGCGGCTCTTCACTGATATTCTACTTTTACTTGGAAAATGGACTTAATCAATTTCTATGCCGCCTAATCTTTAACTGAACTTCTTTCTTGTCATACTCAATATTTCAGATTGCAGTGGAAGTTAAGTATGGTCAGTTTGTAGACTTAAAGTTGTACTATAGTCCTCTATATGATTCTCTTATAGTCTGATAGTATTCATATAGTCTTAAGTATAACTTTATTCTTATAGTGGGCCTAAAGACTTATTGATAATCAGTTTATAGTTTTAGTGGAACTACAGGCTTATGGACGGAATATTCACTAGCATGCGAACTAAGGTCTTATCTATAGTCTTATACTCGAACAGTAGCCATATAGTATGATCATAGTCTTCTAGTCGTATTAAGATCGGAAAGCAGTCATATAGTCGATCTATAATCTTATAGTGGGGCTATAGGTACTATATTCAGACTAGTATGTCTAAATCATGTTGTCGGACTATAGTTTAATAGACCCTACAAAAATTGAAACTACTCCGCAAACGCGTGTAAAGAGTACTCCTCAAAAGACTAGGACTGCTCCAAAATTAATCCAAATATATGGAAAAAACATATTCCAATTAACATTGTGATGTCTTAGATGAGGACTTCGTAATCCATCAATGCATTACATCCTAGTAATCCAAAACTAGTCTCTTGCTGAGATTATGGGAGTACATGACCCGCAACATGGTCCTATGTAATACAGGATATGGACCATGTTGTTTTCAATAATACTACTGAACGGATCATGTACTCCAATAATGTTTACAGGTGAGTAGTTTTTGGATTATTTAAATGGATTATGTACTCCAATTCTTCTAGTTGAACTACAGTTCAATAGCCTTATAGTGTTGGACTATAATCTTAAAGTCTAACTGTAGTCTTATATTTAAATATAACTATAGTCATGTATTCAGACTACAATATTATAGTCAAACACTGTTTAAAATTAGAACTAAAGTCCTATATTCGGACTAAAGACTTGTAGGTGGACTATACTTTAATAGTGGATTTGTAAACAGACTGTTGAATTATAGTCAGACTAATGCCGAACTATGGTCTTATAGTCGGACTATATTAGAAATATATGTAGTTCTATAAACGCTTATAATCCTATAATTGGACTCTAGTTTAATATTTGCATTATAGTCTAATAGTCAGACAAGAATAATCGGAATGTTATCCATAGAATATAGAATATATACCATAGTCTAATATTAGCACTATAATATTACCGTACTTTAGTCCTATAGTTGGATTATTTTCCTATAGTCGGCTTATAGGGGTATTAGAGTCTTATAGTTGTACAATAGTATTATAGCCGGACTATGTATGGAACTATGTTCTTATGGGTAGACTTCAGATTTGTAGTCAGACATAGAGTTGTATTGTCAAAAGTGGTTTTGTGCTATAGTTGGACTATAGACGTATTAGAGTCTTATAGTATTATAGACGGACTATGTATGGAACGATGGTATTATAAGTGGACTTCAGATTTATTAATCAGACATAGAGTTGTATTGTGAAAAGTGTTGTTGTCATATAACGTTTTTATATCAGATTATATTATAATCAAAATTTTGACTTTCTAAATTGATACCGGGTTAATAATTTTTTTTTTTCAATATTTTTAAATTGAAAAACTGTTGATGTTATAGACTGCGGTGTCATAATCTGTCAAATATTGTTTTTGTTGTCATTATAATATACATACATATTAGATAGATATTTACATATCAACATAAGTACCAACATTGTTTAATTAATTTAAATATGTTATTTATAAAAATACATATTAAACACTTCGTCTATGTAACAAATTAAAATCATTAAATGTTTTTGCAAACAAAATATTATGGGAAAATTATACAATTTAGTATAACAAAATAATTTAATAATTAATTGTATGCAGTTGGAATAAATTTAATTTAAAATTAGTTATACGAAGCATTAAAAATTTTTAAAAATAAATTAAAATGAAACATATTAAAAATTTAGGAAAAATTTTAATTTAGGTAGAATTAGAAAATTTTAAGGGAAACTTTGTCTAAATTTTTTTATGTTTTGTTTATAAAACTCGTTAGTTTCTTAATAAAAACTTTAAATATGGAATTTTCATTTCATTTACTTTAATAAATTCTCACAATTTTTGTTTTTATACAAAATGTTTTTTCCTCTATTCTATAACAACTTAATTAATCTTCAACTCTTAACAAAATTTAATCATAATTCCCCAAGATTATTATCAATTGTATTTTCATAGACATTAAAAAAATATCCTGGCAGTAGCATCATTAAATTTACTCAATTCTCAATAAATACGACACTCAAGTGACTTCATTAACGTTAAAAAGCAGCAGCAGCCTCATCTACAAAGGACACAGCGGGATAATAATACAATAACAACAACTATGTATATGCTATTAAATATGACCAAAAACCCTCAACAACAATAGTGTCAGAGTACGAACATCATTAAAAGCAATAAATAAAAATAAGGAAATTTACACTTGATCCTAGATGTACAGCTATAATTTGATTAAGTGATTTTTGCACCAACAGTTTTGATAAATCTAATTACTATTACACTAATTTTGAGTTCTGATTTAAGATTGGTGTTATCTAAGCCCATTTATTCGATAATAAAGATATTGTCTAAGCCATACACTCTGCTGTACGTTTTACACTTGAACTACAGAAGTAGTTCAGTGAGTGAATCCTTGTAGGTGGGGAAATTTCTACTTCTTACATTATGTGCGTAGAAAGGCAGACTAGGAGACTTTTTCAACACTTTTTGATAGGACACTGATCTAATATTTCTATAAAATATATGTAGTATGTGTTTTTTATTCGTTTTTCCAGTACTAAGTGTATTGATAAACTGAAACCTCTTTAAAACTACAAAAACGAACTGAACGTGTGACAACACCATAGTTTCACGCTTAAAACAGCAACAAAAACCAAACAAAAAATGTTGTCAAGCCTAAAAAAAATAAAGAACCAAAGAAGGCTGTAAATTAACCAAAATACCAGCATTGTCAATATTCTGGGCAAAAAACAACACAGACACATACACACACACTCAAGAGTCGTTGAAAACATGTACATACATATGTATGTAACACAAAAGGGACAAAGAGGGTCTATTCTTACTATTCAAAAGAGCCTATAAGTACCCCTCATATTAACTCTATGTTTATAATGATTTGTTTTTTTTTTTTGTTTATTTATTTTGATTGGTTGTCGTTGTCCGCTTTGTTTTAAAAATATTTCTATTACAAAACTTACCTGGTGGTCCTGGAGGTCCGGGTGGACCTTCAATAATGCCTGTTGGAAATTCATCACCTTTGATTGTTGTGGTAAGACCACGATCGCCACGGTCGCCTTTGTCACCCTGAAAATATTTGGAAAATATAAGAAAATAGAAAACATACAAAACAAATCAATACAGACACACCGACATGTTGTGTAAATACTTAATTATGGAAAAAAGGACAATGAAGACATTTAAGAATTTCCTTTTTTGTTGCTTAAACCAAGAACAAAATGTAATGTCCTTTTGCAGGCCAACAACAATAGTTTGTTGTAATATTTATTTAAGATTTCGTTTAAACAAAAGGAAAGGACATTAAATATTGTTTTTTATTTTATATGTATTCTTAGGTATTTATAGTTGTTTTTCTTTTTGTTATTCTTTGTTTTAAGATGTCATAATATAGGGTGACTGTAGTTTAGTTTATTTTATGCTTTTGTTTTCCTTTTCTCATTGTTTAGTTTTTTTTTTTTTTTTTTTGGAAAAGAAAAGTCCTTTTTCTTGTTGTTGTTTTATTGAAATTTTGTTAATAACTTGTTGTTTGTTTGTTTGTTTTGTCATTTAATACCTTTAATCCGGCAGGTCCTGGTGTTCCTGCTGGTCCCATTGGTCCGGGTTCTCCTGTTGGACCGGGTGGTCCTGGTGGCCCTGTTTCGCCCGGAGGTCCTCTTTCACCATTTGTACCGGGTACTCCCATCTCACCAGGTGGACCTGGTGGTCCTGGGGGACCGGGTTCACCTGGTTCTCCCTAATTATGGGAACAATCTTATTAGTATTTGGAATAATTCTTTAAATAATAGAAAAATATCGTTTAAGTTTTAAAAAAAATTAAAAAAAATTTATTGAAATTAATAGAGCGATTATTGTACAACTTGCTGTAATGTAATATTTATACCCTACACCACTATACATAGTGGGGAGGGTCTTAGGCGTATGTGCTGATGTTTGTAAAATCCAAAAATATTGGTCCTACGCCCATCTTAAAGTATACCAATCGGCTCAGAATCACATTCTGAGTCGATTTAGCTATGTCCGTCTGTCTGTCTGTCCGTCCGTTCGTCTGTGTGTCCATGTAAACTTTGTGCACACTCTACAGGTCGCAATTTTCAAGATAATCAGATGAAATTTGGCACAACTCTTCTTTTGACGAAGCCTATTGAAAATGTTTAAAATCAGTCCATTATTTTGTATACGTACAACTATACAACTCTTAGTATTCGATTGAAACTATATATTTCACAAGAAAGTTCTATGAATCCGGGAATATTGTAAAGTACTGCGGACATCAGGCCATAGTCCCATAGGCTCTAGATGCCATAAAAGGTCCCCTTTCAGAAAATTACATTAATGGTTTAAAAATAGCTCTTTACTAAATTTAATGATCATCATTCAATAATTGACCCTATCCCGCATATAACCTGTCTTTAAAAATTATGGATTTTATGTAAAATTCGACAAATTTGATTTGTCAAATTAATCAGAATTTAAAATTTTTTAAATTTCAAACTATAATTGACCCCAGTCGAGGCGGTCCACTTCCGTAAAACATAATAGGCGGACCTTAATTCGCGCTGAAGTCTTTTACTTAAACTATAAACTTTTTTTACTCAGACTGTAGTTTTTTACTTAGACTGTAGTCTTTTCTGTATATTTTTCCTCAGACATTAGACTTTCACCTACACTATAGTCTTGTAGTCTTGTACTAGTTTTATTAGAACTATTGTGTCTTAATCGCTTTATTTATTTTTTACTTTTTTATAATTATTATATTTTTCTAAAAATTTAACATGCATTAGTATTTTCTTTTCAATACCAGAACTTCCCACACTTACCTTCAACTGTATTACAGTCGCCGTTGAAATATTAACACCGGCTTCTTGTAAACCCTTTTAGTTTTTGTTAATAATATTACGTGTTAAACGAATTTTGTTAATGTTTGTGAAAAAAAGCCACCAATATTAACAGATTAAACAAAAAAACATAAAAATAAAAGAAAAAATTCCAAAATAAATAAAATTAGATAGAAAATTAAAACAAATTAAATACCAAAAAATTAATAAAGAAAAGTTAATAATAAAAAGAAAATGTTAAACTAAATAGTCATATAAAATTAATGTTCTAAAACTACTGAAAACGTAAAAATCCAAAACAGTTTTTTTTTATATTAAAACTTGACAAAGACCTTAACCCAAAAGACCCTGAACAACATATTTTCTTTTCTTAGATTTTATCCTAATTTTCTAAATACTCATAAATAATAATGTTTTTTTTCATATTTTTAATTTTATGACTAAAACAAAAACTTTTTACGTCTTTTTTTGCACCATAATTTCTTGACCACAAAATTGCTTTGTTTACACATTGTTGTCTCGTTCAGAAAGTTAATGTTTTCTTTAGCACGTTGTATTTGCTCGTAAAAAAAGAAAATTATGAAAAAACTTGTTGTCTGAAGAAAAAAAAAAAATCAAAATTACCAAAGTTTTTGTTTATTTTAAATAGCACCACAAACAGACACACACTACAATACAGAGAAAAATTTACAAAAAAAAAAAATCCCTACAGTTTGCTTTAAAAAATATAGAAATATAACTTTTATAAAACCCTACAATTAAAGCTGTTTCTTCCTTCCCTATTCAATTACCTCTTAGTGTTTTTCTTAGTCCACTTAATAATTTACAGAGTTTTTAACAAAACAATAAAGTAAAATACTTAAAAGTTTTTAGAAATAAACTTGAGTAGAAAATCACATTAAATATTCATTAAATAAAAGCAAAACAAAAACTCTTCAGCATCTTTATAAATTATAATGGTCCATTAAAAGGGAAAACGGAAATGAAAATTGGAAAATTTTAAAAAATTAATAAACACAAAAAAGCCAGTAAACTTTAACTTTAACTAAATCTTACCTTGACCTTTAATTATTTTAATATTTATAGAAAAATAAACAAATAACTACTGATAAATTTTAAGCCAGAAAAAAAGCAACTAACTACCACCAAAACTACCAACATATGTATTAAAATATATAATAATTGTCTCTTAGAAATACCTTAACGGCTACAATTTCAGCATAACCTAAGGTACCGCCATGTAATGTCGTTACCGATCTTTTAAGACCCTAAATATGAAAAGTGGAAATTGTTGTTTGATTATGGAGATTAATGTTGATTTTATTAATACAATATAGAGTGTTAAGGAGACTTTTTCTTATTTATTATTCAAATTACCTTAACAGTTTGGAAAACATCAATTCCGGGGTGACCTACATCACCTTTGGAACCCTTATCACCCGGCCGTCCGGGAGCACCTTTCTCACCATTAATGCCATTAATACCCTGGGAATAAAAAATAATTGTATTCTGTGTTTGTTCAGATATTTAAGTAATTAACTTACTGGTTCTCCTTTGTCGCCTTGATCTCCTTTTTTACCACGTTTCCCCCGTTTGCCTGGAGGTCCAGGTGGGCCTGGTGGACCTGAAAATGAAATTAAATTTATTGTATTAATATAAAAAGATAAAAAATCAAACTTGTTTTAATAAAAAATAGCTACAAGACTTTGGTTGTAGTCTGGTATATCAGATTATAGTCTGCTATATTAGTCTATAGTCTGCTATATTAGACTATAGTCAGCAATATCATACTATAGTGTGCTAGATTAGACTATAATGAATTAGATCAGACTATAGATAGATTAGACTATATTCAGCTAGATTTGACTATAATCTATAGTAAGTCTGCTAGATCAGACTGTCTGCTATGGTCTGTTAAATCAAACTATAGTCTGCTAGATCTGTCTGTTAGATCAGACTATTGTCTCCTATGGTCTGCTATATCAAACTAAATTTTGCGAGATCAGATCATAGTCTGCTAGATTAGACTATAATTTGCTAGATTAGACAATAGTTTGCTCGATTTGCAGACTATAATCTGCAATACTAAACTATAGGCTGTTAGATCATACTTTAGTCTATAAGATCAGACTATATATAGCTAGATTACTCTATGGTCTGATAAATCAGTCTGGGAGATCAAAATATAGCCTGCTAGATTATACTATAATGAACTACATAGATCAGACTATAGTCTGCTTGATCAGACTATAATCTGCTTGATAGATTAGACTATAATCTGCAATACTAAACTATAGGCTGTTAGATCATACTATAGTCTATAAGATCAGACTATACTTAGCTAGATTACTCTATGGTCTGCTAAATCAGTCTGGCAGATCAGAATATAGCTTGCTAGATTATACTATAATGACCTACATAGATCAGACTATAGTCTGCTTGATAGATTAGAATATATTCAGCTAGATTTGACTATAATCTATAGTATAATCTGCTAGATCAGGCTGTCTGCTATGGTCTGTTAAATCAAACTATAGTCTGCTAGATCTGTCTGTTAGATCAGACTATTGTCTCCTATGGTCTGCTATATCAAACTAAATTTTGCGAAATCAGATCATATTCTGCTAGATTAGACTATAATTTGCTAGATTAGACAATTGCTTGATAGATTGGACTATATTCATCTAGATTTGACTGTAATTTACTGGATGAGACTACAGTTTCCAAGATCAGAATATAGTATGCTAGATTAGACTATAGTCTCCTATATTAAACTGCGGATTAGATTATATTTTACTCGTTTAGATTAAAATCAGCCAGATCAGACTATAGATTACACAATGGTCTGTTAGTCAGCTAAATTAGATTAAAGTCTGGTTAATTAAACTTTCAACTGAATTATAATTCGGATTATAGTCTGATAGTTTAGACTATAGTTTGCTATTTCAGAATAAGACTTAAATCTTATTTTAAGAATACATATAAGTAGGTATTTTCTCACTAAAAACTTTCATATCTTCTTTAGTTTATTGTCTTTATTAAAAAAAAATCTCTTTTCATAAAATTGTTGATTTAACTTAAAGCTTTCTGTTTGACAAACTTTTGCTTTGTCAACAACAAAAAAGTGACAAATATCACTATCATAATTTGACTGAATGAGTGAATAATTCAACCACTACTCAATTTCTCTCTGTGATTTTTTCCAAAAAAAAAAGAAAAACTTTTATTTCCTTCCGTTTGTTTCGACATTTTCATCCATAATTTCTAGTTGTGTTTTTAGTTGTTTTGTTGAAACTCACAGAAATTATGTCAAGACCTCTTTAAAACTGATGGTTGGTTTGTCGTTCTTTGGTGATGGTTTTTCAAGTTTGTTTTTTTTTTTTTTTTTTTGTGTATACATATTAATGTGGGTGTATGGGTGTCGTTTATTTAGCTTTTCCATTTTTCACCATATTTTGCTTCCTTAACTTCAGTTCATGTTCCTGTACATTCAATTGTGTGCTTTGTAACTACTTCAACCTCTAGTTACTCTCTTGATCGTTTTTAGTCCTTGTATATTTATTTAACTTTTATACTTTTAAACAGGATGTTCGGTTTAAGTGTATGTCTATGCCAATAAGTCTGTGTGTTGGTGTGTCTGTGTACATTTTGGTGGCAACCATAAATAGCTTCAGTTCTTTGGTTACGCATCAACACGTTTTTAGAACGTGCCACAATGGCAATTGAACCTTGCGTTTATTTCAGCTTTTCTTGTTGTTTTATTTCGTTTTTTGACAGTAAAAGTAAGATTTCTAGTTGTTTTTTTGTCGTTTTTACTTTAAGAAAATCATATAGTAAAAGTGGAAATGAAAAAGTTTTTCTTTCTGAACAGATGTTTATGTTTTTCGTTGCAACTAGAAAGAAAAGTTTTCTAACTTTTGTTGGCTACTGTTTTTTTCTCGCTGTTTTTTTTTTTATTTTATGTAAAGTTTTGAGAATTGTTAGTTTTGAAATTGAAAGCTATAGAGGTATTTTGGGTAAATGTTAAAGAAGTTGATGCTTAAAGGGTTTAAGGATTCACAGCTAGTTTAATGAAGTAAAAAGTATATGCTGATATTATAGTAGTATACTGATTATTGTCTTATACTGAGACGTTAAGCATATACTGAGATTTTGAGTTTATAGAGTTATATTCAAAGTATGGTCTAATTCCGAGACTATATACTATACTGAGAATATAGAATATATACTATATATAGAATATAGTAACAATAGTCTTATACTAAAGCTGTATTTTACTGTTGCTACAGTTTTATTCTGAGACTAACCATAATGAAAGAACTACTTACATCTACTACCTATACTCAATAATTCTACTAAAAACTTAAAAAGTCATGCTGATCATATATGGAATTTATGGACTGAGAAAAAAAGTTTCCTTGTAAATATAACACCACTACTTGTTAACGTCAAAGTTTTTGTTGGAACTTCTTTCATTTTTGTTTATGAAGTTGCCATAACAAACTGTGTGATTTCGTTTATTCTACTCTATCTAATGATAACAGATGAGATAGAGCTGACGATGAACATGTCTGTTTGTTTGTTTTAAATGTCGAATGCCTTGGCTTGTCCTTGTCTTGTTATAGTTGTTTGTGTTTTCTACTACTGATGGCACTAGATAATGATGGTAATTGAACGTTTTGTGTATTATTAACTACATACACTTGTTCCAACATGAATACCTATACAACACTTCAGACTACAACTTATAACGAAAGCTTATATCTACTTATAGTGTGAAATAGAAAACAAGAAAAACATTGAAAGAAATTTCAAAATATTTAACTTATTAAGTTTTGAACTTATATAAACTTCTTGAAGATGAAAATATTTTAATCCTATTTGAAGTATTAAATTTAATTGATCATGCTTTTTGTAATTTATTATAATTTAACAGTTTACGCAACATTTTTGCAGTGTATTAACCATACACAATACAATTGTTGTCTTAAAGCCATGTACAAAAGATTTATCTGCTTAGAGGTACAAACACATACATATGTATGTATGTACATATCTACAATTTTATGGTAGTATATTTTTGCGAATGTACCAGTATGAATTATATGCGTGTATATACATTAGGGTGATCCCTTTGCATGGAGAAAAAAAAATTAGGTACTTATGTTTCCACAGAAATTGAACACTTAATTAATTCTATAATAAAAATTAAAAGGACTTTTTTAAATGGTTTTCCAAATGTTTTCATGTTTCACGAAAGGTGCTTTAATATGGCATTGATAGCGACTTTTGAACACCTTTCATATGATACCAATATTGCGTACATTTTCTTTGTTGAAATATGGGAAAAATTAAAAAAAAAAAATCGAAAATGACCTTTTTATCCTTTGAATCAGCTCAGCGAATAATAATGCAAGCACAAAATTTTTCAAAAATTGTATCTAAAAATGAACTAAATTTTAATTTTCCGCAGGAACAAAAGCTACTTCCATTTTGGGGCGACCCTAATAACATATCTATAGCAAAATATAATCTCTTTATATTTTATAACTAGCTCATGAGTACTCGTATGTATATGTACATGCTCAAATTATGGCTAAAGAAAATAAGACATTCAGACTAAAATATGGCATATTATACTCCAACACATTAACTCGTATATATCTCAAAGAATATAAAAAGACAGACACATATCTAGACAAACGTTTCTAGGGATATAAATTGCTTGCTATAACAAAAAAAAAAAAAACTCATACAGACGGGACAGGATAGCTAAATCGTTAGACAAAAAGAGGCTTACATATATACATTTTTCAGTCAGTCCGATTAATGGCAAGCAATTTTAATAATTCATATAAATAATATACAAAAACAACTCAATCTAGTAGTAGTAGAAAATTTAAAACGATTTAGATTTAAACATGACTGGAATTTTGAATCACAATGATTAAGTGTCAAAAAAATTTCTTAAAGGGAAATTTATGTATATTAGTTGTAGAGAAATGGGATTTCAGTGAATGAAAGAAACATTTTTTTTCTGCAAATAATTTGGATTTTTAGCAAGGTTGTCAACTAGAATATAGACCAGACTATAGACTAAACTATAGACCAGACTATAGACTAGACTATAGACTAGACTATAGACTAGACTATAGACTAGACTATAGACTAGACTAGACTATAGACTAGACTATAGACTAGACTATAGACTAGACTATAGACTAGACTATAGACTAGACTATAGACTAGACTATAGACTAGACTATAGACTAGACTATAGACTAAGACTATAGACTAGACTATAGACTAGACTATAGACTATAGACTAGACTATAGACTAGACTATAGACTAGACTATAGACTAGACTATAGACTAGACTATAGACTAGACTATAGACTAGACTATAGACTAGACTATAGACTAGACTATAGACTAGACTATAGACTAGACTATAGACTAGACTATAGACTAGACTATAGACTAGACTATAGACTAGACTATAGACTAGACTATAGACTAGACTATAGACTAGACTATAGACTAGACTATAGACTAGACTATAGACTAGGACTATAGACTAGACTATAGACTAGACTATAGACTAGACTATAGACTAGACTATA